TCATCATCAGCAGCATCATCATCATCATGATCATCATCATCATCACCATCATCATCAACATCATCATCATCGTCATCATCATCAGCATCATCATCATCACCATCACCATCATCATCGTCATCGTCATCGTCATCGCCATCATCATAATCATCAACATCATCATCAGCAGCAGCATCATCATCAGCAGCATCATCAGCAGCATCCTCTTCCTCCTCCTCGTCCTCCATTCCTTCTCCTTGTAGATAACTCCTCCCTGGCGCACCCCGAGGCCGGTTTTTACGACGGGCCCGGCGTTTCGCCTGAGACTTCCTCACCACTTATGACTCTGAAGCTTAAAAGATAACAACCGTCTCACAGGTGGAGTGCGTGTCGTTTTCAAAATGTGGTTCTCGCCTTAGAGCCGCGCACATTCGGTTTGAAAACATTGCAAGAGTTTCACGGATTGGGGGCGGGTGGTTTTCAAAATGTGGTTCTCGCCTTAGCGCCGCGCACATTCGTCTTAAACATTTGCAAGAGTTTCACGGATTCCCATGATCAACGCACCAGACATGGTGTTTGTGAAGGATTCAAGATTATGCAGGCGCAACAGTTATGTTGATTCGCTGTGTTGAAGTCCGAGAAATGGCGTTATGGTACGATTCTGGATCGTCAAGATGCAGTAGTCAGATTGATACGTGGCGTTGAAATCCCGAGAACAATGGTTTTGCACGCTTCAGGATCTTCAAGATGTTGTCTTACAACGAGGCAGTTCCCTCAATGGAAACGAACCGCTGTAGGGGCCTATGAAGGGGGAGCCTGGAGGGAGGGTTAATTCCAACATCGTTGGCGACTCTTGGGCTTCCACGGGTCCTCCTCCTCCTCCTCCTCCTCCTCCTGCCTCCTCCTCCTCCTCCTGCCTCCTCTGAGCGTTTCGACTGCCCTGCAGCGTGATCGAGAGCGTTGTTCCTGAGCGGAGGGTACTACGCCGTTCCCCACACGGAGCCAATCGGGGCGCCGCCCTCGGGCGAGAGGAAGAGCACGAGGAGGAGGAGGAGGAGGAGGAGGAGGAGGAGGAGGAGGAGGATCGGCGGCGAGCGAGGGGGGGAAATCAGAAAAAGAAGGCCTTCTTAGATAGTCATCGGTTTACGGAACAGCGGCCCCGGAGATGAACGGAATGCTTCCGAGAAATTTGTTCGGCGTCTTCGGGGGAGGCTCAAAAAACTTCTCGGAAGACCGTGGGGGTTCTGGGCCTTCTGAGAAGGTACGTCCCTTCTGACTTTCCTCCCAGACTCGCCGCCCAGAGGAGGAGCGCCATGGCTTCTGATCATACTGATCACGCTTACGTCAAAACTGGTGTGTGTGTGTGTGTGCGTGTATGCTTGGCTCACGTGATGCCCACGTTTGTCTCACGTGCTGCTTATCCGCCACCGTGCCGCGGTCACTTAGTGGAGGTATCGTGCCCTTAAGTGCCCAATGCGTAGGAACTTCTGCACACACTCTTTCAAGCTCCAGACCCGCAACTCACAGGTATCCCGGAAACTCCTTATTTGTTCTGCGTGGTTCTTCCTGAGGCCGGGTGCACCATGGGGCCGTCCTGGACCCGTCTTGGCAAGCAGTCTCTTGGGCCATCTTGGAAGCGGCCAGCCCAAGAAGCCAAAATACCTCCAAAACCTAAGATGCTCGCGTGGGTTCACCATCCTCGCTTTGTCATGAAAAATGTCCCAGACGACCCCAAGAGGCCCCAAAGATCGTTCCAGGACAGCCCCCAAGCGCCCAAGAAGGGCACATGACGATACGATACGACCACCGCTGCGGACATCTTTCGGGCCTAGCTGGAACCAGATTTGGCAAGGCCTTGGCCTCATAAATCTGGCGCGTCTGGCCAACATGCAATGCGAGACACATGCCTAAGAAATCAGAAGAAAAAGAAACGGGAATAAGGTACTAGAGGTCGATGCCGGCGTGCTGCACTGCATGCTCGCGTGTGTCGGTGTGGGAGAGGATGGAGTGAGGGAGGAAGGAAAAGTCCTTGGTGTCGGTGTCGGCGCGGGTAATAGGAGCTCGTGATATTGGCATTGGTCCTGCGTGCTTGCTGGCGGGGGGTAAGTGTACTGATGCTCGAGTGCCGTCCATGTTTCGCTGTCCGGGACTGTTCGCAGCCATGTGATGTCATGTGGTTCACCTGTCGAATGGATCTGCGCGGGCGGTCGGTGAAGGTCTGGTCTGCGTTGGCACACATGAATTTTGACTTCGTCGTCCCAACGCCGGTTGGGGACCGTGCTGCCTCTGTCCCCGCTGGCGCGGGTCGAAATCTGGCTGCCATTGCAGCACTCGCAATATCCACCGCGTGCGGTCGTGGTTTGCGACTCTGGAAAACATGCGCCACAATTTTCACTTGTGCACAATCACCCAGTTGTCGACGCGGTGGAGTTTCATGAGATGCTCTGCGCGTCGTGTCGCCCGCTGAACTTACTCAACCCAAGATTCCACTGTGTTGTCTACTGCGGTCCTGTCTGGGCCGCCCTCGCTGTGCACGTCAAGTGTGGCAGACACGTCGCGCTGGAGAGGGTCGCTGCCTGCGTCGTCGTCGTCGCTGGTGCTATTGGTACCGTGGTCGTTGTCTGGTGCTTCGTTGCTTGTGACGTCGAAAGTAGTGGTTTCTTGGCTGCTGTGAGGGTCTGCCTGCATTGCTGCGCGTCGCCCCGGCATTCCGGCGATCATGCGAAGCATGCATCGCTGTGTAAGTACTGCCGCCTGGTTTCTGTGAGTGTCCAAGACTCTGGACCATCTAACGCTATTGGCGCCACCATTCTGTTGAAAGGCTGAAGTCGGTGAGCCAGTTGGAAGTGCTTACTGGTCAGCTCATGTTTGCGAGAGGTGACCGATGCCCACGCCGCCCTCGTGAGGTGCTGAATTTCCGTGCCCATCGGTTCGTGGAAGCTGGAAGATTGGTCCAGATGTTTGAGGCTGCCCTCGTACGGGATGATTTCTACATCCATGTCTTGGACACGTGCTGCGCATGAGCTCGCCATCCCACTCCTTCTCGTCAGGTTGCTGAGTATATTGGCTTGCTCGGGTGCAGTTCGAGCCCGCGTAACTTTGCCGCGCGCGCAACGTCGTCAAGCATCGTAGTCCGACGCGGGAGAGTTTGGCCGGTCAGGGGCACGTCGTCGGCGAAGCGCAGGTTGGCGAGAGCGGCCATGATCGCAAATCCGAATTCGACAATGTTCTGTTTGTCGCTGCCACTCGGAGAGCGGCGGTCCAAGGATGCGCCATAAAAGAGCGTTGAAAAGTAGGGGGCTAAGCGGGTCGCCCTGCTTCGTACCCCACAGGGGGCGAAGAGTCTGCTGCTGGCGTCTGTCTTCACCGTGCCTGTCGGTCCATCGTAGAGCTGTAGGAATAATGCATTGTATTCGGATTGGACGCTTTGTTCCTTCTGTGCTGCCCAAATGCTCTTGTGCTCAACTGAATCGATAGATTTGTTAAAACCGAGTGCTGCGACCCATGGATTCTGGCCCCACTCGTTTGCTTAGATAAGAAGTGAGGATGTGGTCAGTGGTCGAGTAGCCTGGTCTGCAACCCGCCCGGTCGGCTGTCTGGTGAGAATCACGCGTTGGTTAAAGCCCGTTGTATGGCAGTCGGCTGGGTAGATTTATAAACAGTGGCACCGCGCAAAAAAGAAGGCAATTTTGTGAAGAAGGAAGAGACAGAGACAGAGACAGAGAGATCCGTTCTGGCACGACTGCGATGACTGTGCTCTCCGGCCGGCGGCGGGGCTTTGCGTCGCAAGATCACGTTGTAGGGGTGGAGAAGTGCACATCTGAGCTTCTCTGTGCCCTCTTTAAGCACTTCTGCGCGGAAGCCTTTCATATCTTGGGCTTTGTCAGGCCGGGGAACTTTGATCGCCTGGTTTAGCTTTGTCAGCGTGGGTGGTGGGCGTCAGTGAGCATGCTGGTCGCTGGTTGGTGGCAAGTCTGCTGGTCTGCTGATCGGAGGTCAGTGGCCGGTCTGCTGTTTTGCTGGTCGGTCGGTCGGTCGGTCGGGCGCGTAATCTGCTGGTTTGCCAGTCTGCTGGTCGGTCTGCTGGTCGGTGGTCGGTGAGGTCGTCGTCTGGCGGCTGGTAGTCGGCAGGTTTGCTGGTCGTTCGTTTGCAGTCGGTTTGCCTGTCTGCTGGCCGGCGGTCGGCGTTCGGTCTGATGGCCCAGTGGACGGTCGGCAGGTCTGGCATTCGGTCTGCTGGTCTGCAGGTCTGCTGGTCGGTGGTCGGTGAGGTCGTCGTTTAGTGGCTGCGGTAGTTGGTATGTCTGCTGGTCGGCGGTCGGCTGTCCGGCGTTCGGCCTGCTAGTTTGCCAGTCTGCTGGTCGGTCTGCTGGTCGGTCTGCTGGTCGGTCTGCTGGTCGGTGAGGACGTCGCTCGGTCGCTCTGGTTGCTATGACTCTTCTGCCGATGTGTACAGGTGCTCATAGAACTCAACTCCCCGGAGACGTTCTTGATGTCCTGTCGCCTCGTGCGTTAGGTTGCGTTCTTTGTCTGACACGCGGGCAATGACAGCACGGCCCCTTCGTGCTTCGATGCGCGGGATGCCCTTGAGGTCCCGCAACTGCTCAAGAGTGTCTGCTATATGGGGTCGTCGCGTCGTCCACTTCTGCACGCGGATCTCCCTCTGTAAGAGGTCACTCAACTGCTTGCGGGCGCTGTGATCGTCGTTCAGGGTTTCTTGTCGTTGTGTGATTGAACTGCGCAATTGCACTGGTCCTTGGTCGGGTTGTTGTTTTGCTTGTGGTCTGGCTGGGGCTGCTCGGTCTGCGTCGTTCCCGGAAGAACTTCGCGGCGCGCAATTGGCGGCAGCGGTGTCCACGATGACTTGTTGGATGTGTTCGTTGGGCGCTTCTGGGTCGGAAAGTAGTTTGTGCCTGTGTAAGTTCGGCCGTTGATGGTCATGATAAGCTTGCGCGTCGGCGACCTCTCCTGTCGGGATTTGGGTGGAGGCGCGCGGTGCTGCTGACGTCGTTCGCCGTCACGTCGCGGTCGTCTGCTTACCGCTGTTGTCGGCATATGCACGTCAATGGTCACAGCCTCGCGGTGGATGCCGAAGTCGGCCCTGCCGTCGGCCTCTGCCTTGGCGAAGTGCCAGAACAACGCGCGGCCCAGCAGTGCGTTGTCGAGCTGCCTGCGCTCGTCGCCCCTCGTAAACGCGACTTGCTCGCGCACGAATTTGCGAAAACATGCACGCGCAATAACGAACCCCTCTTGGGTTGCCCAGTGGCGCAGCCAGGTGCCCATCGAGTTTTGGCCCCAATATCTGCGGCGACCAACATCTCTGGAAGTTGCGTCGTCGAAATTGCCGGCGTTGTCATCTACGTCGTCGGGCGCGATGGAAGCTTCTACCCCTACGCTGAAATCACCTACGAATATCGCATGACGCCGCGTCTTGGCGCCCACTCTGCGAAGCCCGCGGATCAAGTCGCACACGCGCTGCACGCGCGAGGCCCACAAGGCCGAAGTCGAGCAGGCGCCGCCCCCCCCCCCGCGATTGCCCCGAGACCGCCTGCAGGCCCTAAGAAGTCCCCGAAAGGCCCCGAAAGGTGCCCAGGACACGACGAGAAGTCTCCAAGAGACCCCAAAAGGCCTCCAGGAGGCCTCTGGTCCACGACCAAGGCGCGGTGGCGGGGCGGACGGAATGAAGGCCACTAGACGATGCCTCACAGACCACCCTTCGGGTGGCACGGCCGTTGGGGGGCGGCGGACTTGCCTCTCGATTGCCATGGGATGTGCGTTTCGACGCGCGGATCGATTGCAACTGGGCTTGCACGTCGATGCGCCGGCACGTCTGGGCGCGCATCGGTTGCGATTTCGATCTGCATTCCGACTGATTTGGAGCTGCATTGCGAGATGCCTGCCAAACGGCATTTCGCTGCGCATGGCGGCGTTCATCTAGTTATGTATCCCCATGCGCCTGTAGAATAGCATTTCCAATATGCGATCCAATGCGCGTTTCCACGTTGATTTTGACGCGCGTTTCCATGCACATGCCGATCGAAGGTTTGATTTGGATCTCGATTGCAGGTTGTGCCTGCGTGATGTGCATGCTGACCTACATGTCGACGTGCACTTCGGCTCGCGGTTCGACTGCACTTTGCACGTCGATTTGCACCCCCCCCCACCCACCCCCCACCCACGGGATCACCACGAGACAACCCACAGCACAAGCGCAGGACAACCCTTCGCCTCACCGGAGCCGACACCGCAACCTATCCCCCTCTTGGGGGCCACGTACTTCTACCCCCAAAACCTCCGATACGTGCCTCATAGAGCGCACTTCGGGAGAAAAGGGAGGCTCGATGTGGTGAGGAACGTGCATCTAGGTATGCAAGTCGACTACAGATAGATGTGCATGCCGATGTACATGTCGAAAAGCATGTCTATACCAATTGGATACACGTCGGTTCGCGTTGTGGTCTGAACTCCGATATGCACGTCGATGCATGTATGGTTCGACCATTGGTCGATAAAAGTTTATAGATGCGTTCGGTCTAAGCAACCAGGAATTGCATCCCGAAATTCATATCGAGTTGAGGTTCGATGCGATTCTGACGACGTGAAATTATATGTAATATTCGATGCGCATGGCGGTTCAAATCCGATTTGCATGTTTAATGCGACATTCGGTTCGCAGTTCAAGTCACATGTTTTCCCACCGCGTTGGCCGCGTCGAACCCTATCAACACATTCGCCGATGGCCACGATGACATATCATGTCCTCTGCACACCGTGGTAAATTTGAGTGCTGAGCTGAACATAAAACGGCTGCGCCTGGCAGCGAATAGAAGCGAACAACACACACACACAACTGCCACAGGTCGCCTGCAGCTGCGCATGGCAGCGAGTAGCAGCGAGAAGCTAGGCATTCCATGTAGCTGCGCACAGCAGCGAGCAAAACACACCACAATATATTATTTGGCGCGCGCGAGGCCGATGAATGAGAGCTACGCAGACGTAATGCGCTGGCCCCAGCTAGGAGCTAGGAAGAGAGCACGCTAGAACAATAAATTGCTAATGGTAAAGACAACGATGCCAACGAAAACGACAATGACGAGACACTGATCCGTGGCTCGAGCATTGCGAGGCAACCAGCCTTGATCCTGCAAACTCTGGTACGCGTCAATCCGCTTCCACTGCGTCACAAGGAAAGTCATACTGACCAATGTCAAAACGCAGGCAACCAATGGGTATGCGTCGTGCGCACACTCGAGCGTGCCCGTTGCGGAAGCTGCGCAGACTGAGAGGGAGTCGACCACCTTCGGAGCCAACCAACAATGAAAGAACTCGCCGAAGTTGAAGGCGCTCGTCTGCAGCGACATCACGGTCGCCACCAGCTTACAGTCCAGCTTCGCGACTTGACCATAAAACGTAAACTCGGTCGCCTCGAACAAGAAGAACAGCAGGTCTTGGGCTTTGGTCATCAGGGCGTAAACCAAGGTGAACTGCCAGGTGGCCGCGCCTGACCACATGCAGTACTGCACGAGTAACCCAGCGATCACCACAGCCTCGACAAAGTAGAATCGCATGGGTAATGAAAGCGGGCGCTTGTTGTCAGCGCCGAATCGCGACAGCAGGACAAGTGCGACCAACGTACATAGCACAATCGGTAACTCGTACAGCGCATAGTCCTCGCCATTCAAGCCCATCTGCTCGTACCTGTTCGCGAGCACGGACACAACGTGGAAATACATTGCCGGCATCAAAAGCTGGTAGGACAACCAGTGCGGCACGTTCCTGCGATGCGTAGAGAACTGCCAAATCCTCTTCATCATGCAAACCATGTCAAGCTCGTTAGGTTCGCATTCTCCGCAGCCGAATGATCCTCTTCCTCTGCAGCGGCAAGGACTCCGAGCACGCAGATGCCTGTCTGGACGGCCAGACTAGTTACGAAGCCCGAGAGGCTGAGCCACTCGTGGCTCAGTAATGCGAAAAAACCTGACTTGCCGATGACCTTGCCGACGAAGATGCCGACGACCTGGCACAGCGCGGGCACGTCGCCCAGACTGCCGGGAAACTGGATTAAGGCGAAGGATCCAGTGCCAGATCAGATGCCGCGTTGAAGAGAGCACATCCGAACAAGGGCCATCGCAGTTGGTTGGCCGCGGCGACGCCGCCTTTGGAAGATGTGACGTTCACCATTGAGGCCAGGTAACAAAGACTTGCGCACGAAACGGCCTGCATAGAAACCAGCAGCGTCGTGTAGCCCTTCGGGAGACGGTGGCTCATGTAGTCCACGAAGGGCGCGAGAAATATCTTAAGTGCGGCTGGAAGCTTTGCAATCGCTAGCACGGTGTTGACCTCAAGCGACGACTCGCTGCGGTTCAGCAGCTGCGGCAATGTGCTTTCTGCAAGGCTCATGATGCTGCCCTGGATGCCGTACATGACGACGGTCACGAAGGACAGCATCGCGATTCGCATCATCTGGGCAATCGCGTGCGGAGGTGTGAGACCCAGGCTGTGCCTCCACTGTGTCAAACAGCTTTCCTGAAGCTTGAGCCGATGAGAATGCCTGTCGGTTGAGAATGCATGTCGGTTTACATGTCGATCGCAGTTTGACTGGTGTTTCGGTACGCAGTCAAACTTCCATCTCGATCTGCATTTCGGTCGCACTCCAACTTATACTTCAAATAGCATTTACAAACTCATGTCGATATGCATTTCGATGTGCATCTCGTGCGTAATTGAATTCAAATTTCGCAACGATGGCAAGACAACCCACGGGACAACCGCGGAATAACCACGGGACGACCCAAAGGCCAACCACGGCAGACCCCACGGGCCAACCACGAGACAGCCCACGGGACAACCCACCGAACAACTCACACGACAACCACGCGACAGTCACGGAAGGAACAACCCACAGCACAACCCACGTGGCGACTGCGGAGCAGCCCACGGGACAACCCAAAAAGCAACCGCCACGGGGCAGCCACGGGGCGACCCTCGAGGCACCGCGAGGCCAGCGGAGAAGCTTGTTGTCCGACTTGGCCCTGGCCTCGGCTGGCACATCGTCGCCCCCGCGCAGCTTCGCCTCGCCCAAACGCACGACACGAACCGAGACCGAACTCTGGGCTGGGAGCACTTCGATCTCACCCTCCTCCGACTGACGCAACGAGCACCGTACCATGTCTGCATGACGCTAGCACAAGAGAGAGGAGAGTCGGAAAGGATCACTAGCACACAGCGGGCGACATCATCACGCTTCGTCGCGGGCCGCCGCGGCGATCGGCATGATCACGGCGATCACAAAGCCGCTGCGCCGACAGGGATGAGATGGTCCCACGGTATTGACATGTAAGAACAACAACGGCCAACGAGGAATGTCTGGGTCCGACGCTGACACAAGGACTTTGAGTGGGAGGACGCGGGCAGCTAGAACAGAACGCTGAAGCCGCACGATCAATCCCGACACCCCGACCCACCTTCGTGCTCTGCCTCGCTCCCACCACGTGGAGCTTCGTCGAGTCGGGCCGGGCGCTTGGTGCCGGGGCGAGCGCGGAAAAAAGGGAGAGAGGGGCACCGAGGGGAAAAAGAGCGCGCGAGGCGGGGGCCTTTCTCAAGGGCTCGCAGATCGGCAGCTCCTCGTATTTCGTCTCGCTGAAGAAGCCAGCTGGGCGAAAGGACTTCTCCTTCTCCGTAACGGAGGGGCCCTGCTCCTCATGGGAAGGCGCCACTGCAGCCGACCGCGCGTCAGATCGGGGTCTTGCAGAGGGTGCGCGGCCCTCAAGCGGATCAAAGGATATCAAAGGATCGCTCTGCTCCCATCGGCCCATCCTCCAATTTCACCAGAGCGCACCCAGAGGGACGAGGGAGGAAGGGAGGGCAGAAGATAGAGGAGAAAGAACGGATACCAGAGGAGATGAAAAGAGCGAGGCGAGTGAGGGAGAAAGGGAAGCAGCAGCGGCACCGACTATCCACCTGCCTTTCAGACTGGCCGAAGGCCGAAGAGGAGATTGGCGGGTGGAACAAACGACGGGACAACCGTCGGAACAACCGTCCCTATCAATCGACCAACCTCTTTCGGTCGATCTGTCTATATATCACTGTCTACATATCAATATCATTATGTATCGATCGGATTTTCCATCAATAGACTTGTCGATAACTATATCTAGATACACGGGCCTCACTATCACTCTAAGGATCGCACTATCCATCAACCAATCAATCAACTAATCGAGTAATCAGTCAATCAATCCATCCGTCACCAGATCAACCATCGGACAACCATCGGGACGGACTCTATCGGTACATATATCGATGTCCCCACCTGCCTGTCTATATGATGTATATACGTGTGCCGTTATCTAAATGACGATATCACTATCCATATGATGCTGGTATACACGTATATACAACCGAGCTCACTATCGATAGACCGATCGCTACCACTACCGATCGATCGATCTCGCCACATAGATCTATTGGTGTCACCATGTGTGAATCGAGATCACTGTCTCCATATGTGTCGATATATATACATATTTATGTGTATAAAGATTTGCACCTGTGTATATTTATGAGTACAAGATATATAATCATATCTATATAAATATGATTGTATATATATATATGTGTGTGTCGGCTTTCAATGTACACCGATCGATCGATCGCACGATCTATCAATCTACCATCGGAACAAACATCGGGACAACCATCGGGACAAAAACCGTGACAAGCACTGGGACAAGCATCGTGACAACCATCGGGGCAACCATTGGGACAACCATCGGGACAGTCATCAAAACAACCACCGTGACGACAACAATCGGGACGAAAATCGGGACAACCATCGGGACAACCATCGGGACAACCAACCGTCAGGACAACCGTCGGGACAACCACAGAAAAACCACGGGACAACCGCAGGACCACCACGGGACAACCACGGGACCACCGCAGGACAACCGCGGGACGACCGTGGCACCGGCCGCCGGAAGAGGGCCCCTTGCCACGCCCTCGCCCCAGCAACGGCGGGATCGCTCCTCTCGCCCGCGCACGCAGGCTTTGCCTCGCCCGCGCGCACGACGCGAGCACCAAACTGCAACCGACTGCCCGGCGGGGGGTCTCCGCGTTCCCTTCGATCTCACCCACCCGACCTCCGACACCTGCCTTGGCCAGGCCCATCCTGGGCCCACGCTTTGTGCAGGCGCCCTCCTGCCCTGGCCAGGGCGGCGCATGCACGCACCCATCGTGGACCGAGGACTCGCCCAGTCCACAAGGAACCTTCCACAATAAACGCAACCCTGAGACCCCAGGGCGTCCATTGAATTTTGGTGAGGGAACGTCACGCTCTCCACAGCAAAACCACCGAAACCCAAGAAACCCAGGGCACCCTGGAGGCAAGCAGGGTGTCTCTTGGCATGGGTTTCCACTGTACGTGCACCGTTGGCACCCTCCGACAAGGGAGGGACCACATCCTCGGTCACTGCGGGCCACGGGAGGCAAGGGCTTGCAGCTCGCTGTGGGGCACGACCCGTGTGAGGCGTCTACCGAAATAGGCGGAGGCCCGCAGGTGGGCGCCCTAACTGGGTGCCGTGGGTGGGGCTCCCATGTGCGGCACGATCCGGGCGACGGCAGGAAGAGGAGGATGCTGGATGCAGGATGCGGGAGGAGCGGGAAGCGGAAGGAGGGCGACGCGCGGCGCAGCGTGGAGAAGAGGAGGACCCAACAGCACAGGAGGGACAGGACATGAAGACAACGCGCGGTGGAGGAAGAGAAGCCGACGGCAGACATCCGCGGCAAGAGGGGCCCGTCTCCTCGGGCTCCGCCTCCTCCTGAATCTCCGTTTCCTCTGGCGGTTCTGCGTGCTGTCCACCATCATCCTCGGCAGCCGCCTGTGGAAGCGGGAGAAAGCCAACTGCCTGAGAAATGAAAGCAGCAGGGTGCCTTTGCCCTGGCTGCTGTTCAAACCTTGGGAAGCACCCGGGCCGCAGAGGACCCCGGCGCGAAGCGGGAAAAGGGCCGCTGGACCACAGGACTGAGGCGGAGCTAATTGGAACGGCTGTCAGCACCCAGGGGACCACCAGCACCACCAGGAGGGGGAGGGACAGTACATGGACAATATATATTCGAACCCAATGCAGACGTGAAGGGAATGCTGGTCCCCCCCCCCTGCCCCCCCAATTCAATGTTGAGATCGGTATGGGTGTTGCTTTGGGGGTTCGAATATTATTGTCCACCCAAGCCCCCCCTTCATTGCCACATCTCCCCAATATTAATTTGGGGGTCCGGGGGGCATCTTGTGTCGCAGGGTTCGGATATAATTGTCCATGTACGGGAGGTCGTCAGCGTCGTCGAAGAGCACGCAGAAGCACACGCGCTTGCAAGAGCACGCGAGCGCACGCGCGACCGCACACGCGCTTGCCGTCCGAGCAGAGCGCGCGCGCGAGGGCCCGCGCGCCGCAGGGAAGCGGGAACTGGGCGGTCGGCAAATCCAGTCGGTGATGGGGAAACTTGCATTAGGTCGAGATGTCCTGCTATGTCCTCCTATGTTGAGCGAAGCCTTATATACAACAACCTTAAAAATTAAGAGATATACACATATAACAAACAAACAACCAACCAACCAAACAAACAAACAAACAAACAACCAAACAAGCAAACAAACAAACAGACGAACAAACAAAAAAACAATAAAAACGTCCCCTGGCTAGGTGTCGACTACTCGTCTTGCACGTTCCTCCTGCAGAGGGACAGGCCCGCCCTGCAGCTGCCCGTCCTGCGCCGCGCCCGACCCCGCGCAGCCCGGAGACGCGCCGCGGCGGCCGAGCAGCACAGAGCGCGCAGCTCGCGGTCGGCGCGAGAAGCGCAGGGTCCAAGAAGGTCGGGCAGGGCGCACAGGCCGCCTGGGCGCGGGGTGGCCGAGCGATCGACGACCCTCAGAGCGCGCGCTGGTGAAGGGGCCCTGGGACACACAGATAAATACACACAAACAACAGGATCCCCTGTATTTTCCCATATGTGCTGGGTTGTTGTCTTCCCCCTCACCTCCCGCATTTTCCCGCATTTTCCGGGGAATCGACGATGAATTGTGTCTGTGTGTTCTTGTTCCTCCTGAGTTGGCCCCAACGCGTGCTCGTCCACCGAGGCCCTCCGACACGACACCTGGCGATGCGATGATCTGCCGGCTGGGCCGAAGGGGGCAAGCACGCACGGGGCCGACACGCGTCCCGAGGATCGTCGGAGGGAGCTCGCCCTGCCGGGCCCCTCCCTCCGCCTCGGGGAGGGGCTCACAGTCAGCACCCGTCGCTGGGACGCGCGGCAGGGGCGCAGGGCCCTTCCCCGTGGAGGCCCAGGCTGGGGCACTCTTGGGGCGGCCGGCCAGCGAAAACCGCAGAGGACGGGCCGCCGAAGCAGAGGCAGGAAGGGACCCCAAGGGTGCCCTACCTGGAAAGGGCGCGCGTCCTTATCATGGGCGTTGGCTGTACCCCTCCTCGCACTAAAGCTGTGCGTAGCTTTTAGCGGAAGAGGTTCGCTCTCGCCCCGCAGGTACCCCTCCTCGGCCAAGCCTCGGAGAACTTCCCCCCTCGCCTCGCCACGCGAAGAGGAAAGGGGGTCACGGAAATGGACATCGTATACGCGCATTCTGGACTGGGCTCGGGCACATACCGGGTACTTCTCGCACGGTCGTTGCCAAAGTCACCCCAGCGATACGACAAGCCAAGGCGAGCCAGCCCCCTGGTGGCCTCCTGAGGGCCGCTTGGGTACCTCTTGGGTTCCCCTTTGGGGCGCCCCTCTCCTGCAGCAGCTTTTCGTGACGCAGGCCGGGATCTCGACCCCTTCCTCGGGGCCAGCTCTTCATCCTGAGTCTATTTTCCACTGCGCCGGGGCCGGGAAACAGCCGATAACGACGAGAAACTGGCCGTCGCGATTGTTTCTTCCGTCTCCTGGATCTGATGGCTTTGGGGCGCCTACGGGGGGCCTCTTGGAGGGCCTCTTGGAGGACCTCGTGGGGCCCTCGTGACGGCCCGTGGGAGCCTCCTGGGGCCGCTCTTCGGCGGCGAGCGAGGGGGGGAAGTGAGTAGGAGAAGGCCCTCTCAAAAGGTGGCGGGACTTCTCGGCAGCCCCCGGGCCTTCCGAGAGGTTGTCTGCGTCTTCGGGGAAGACTTGCAAAACAACTTATCAGAATGCTTGGGGGGTTCCAAGCCTGCTGAGAAGGCCTGCCCTTTCTCACTGCCCCCAGACTCGCCGCCGACAGGAGGGGCCCCAAGAGAACCCCAATGATGGGAAAGTGTTCCACCACCACTACCATATGTAGGACGGGGGAGAAGGGAGGATCAGGAGGTCCTCCTCCTGCTCCTCCTCCTCCTCCTCCTCCGCCTCCTCCTCTCTGACACATTTATGATATATATAGAATATATTTATATCATATATATATATATATATATTATTATAATCATTCAATATGAAAATATATTCCTCTTCGAATATTCTTATATCGGAAAACCGCGGGTGACCCCCCCCCCGTACATAAAATCGGCCATGGGCGCTCCCATCGGCGGGAAATTCGGGTATTCGGTTCCGGAGACCCCTCTCGGTCATCCCAAGCCGCCCTGGCGAGCTCAAGATCGCTCCCTGTACGGTCCCGCGGAGCACCGAAACGGCCCAAGACCGCTCCAACACGCCCAAGATGGTCTCCGGACGGCCCAAAAGG